GGTGGGAATGGGTCCATTTTATCCCTTCCAGACAATTGTCCCCTCCAACCTCTGCCCCTCTCCTTGTCCTCTGCAACCCCTCTTCTGCAGTCTGTGTTACCAGAGGTTTTTTGGCTGCTCTTCCCCACTGCCAGTTCACATTTATTACACATTTCATGATCACCATGAAATCGGTTTTTTGGCACCATTGTGACTTTTTTTCCCCCCTCTGAGTATCCTTTTGGAGACACCATTTCCTGAGGTTCTGGACTGTAAACACACACACACAAACAGAGTTTGTGAAAATTACCTGAAATGGGACATTTTTATTGCAGTCCTTTGACATCTGTGGCCGTGTGGGAAGTGTCAGGAAGGCACTGAAGGTCCTCTGCACCCCCCAGGTAAGGAATGAGACATCAAAGAGCCATTTCAGAGGTGAAGCCTTGTTCCTGTGGGATGATGGAGCTGAGAATTGCTCACAGAATACAACCTCGTGCTCTGCCATGGCTGGACAAGCTGTTCCCTCCTGTCAGGGATGTTGGGAACCTTTCCTGACCCCTGCCCTGTCCCAGCTCTGGGAGAGGCTCTTCCTGCTTTGTCTGACTGGGAGCTCTGTGTAATATGGATTAATCCACTGAGGCCAAACCTGCAAGGACCTGACAAAACCTTGCAGTGCAAAGTGTGAGAAGGGCTTTAACCAGAACCCTGTCGTGCCTTTTGTGCAGTGACACTCCCAGAGATCAGGAATTACCCCAGGCACTGGTGTTTGGATCTGCTGCACTGACATGCTGGGACTTGTATTTTAAGAAGGGCCACACCACCACTGCAGTTTGTTAGAGCTCACCTGGCCTGTTCTGTGGGCTTGGGCTGCTCATTTTTTCCTCAGCATGTTTCTATTTCCCCCAGTCCTGTTAAAATGTGGGAGAAACATTTACCCTCCATATATCTAAAAAGAAAAGTGGGCAGCCCCCAGATGCTGCTGCTGCTTTTCTCTCTCCTATGGTCTACCTTGCCAATAATAATCCCTCCCACTATCCAAACACCTCTGCAGGTGGTGCTGAGCTCATTAAGTGTCATTATCGTTGCTGCACAAGTGCAGGCACCAAAGGGTGGGATCAGGGGCCAACCCAGCAGAGAGCACAGAGCTGCACAATCCCTGTGCTGCTGCCCACACCTCCCTTCCCCACCAGGGACACAACCCCAGTGTCCTTCCCGGGCCGTGTGGGCTAGGAACAGCCCTGTTTTCACACTCCCTGAGCCTCCAAACCCTCGGTCATTGGGATTTCCCCCCCCCCTGTCCCCCGCAGACCTACGGGGTCCGTGCCACCAGCCAGCAGTGCAGCGAGGCAGGAGACATCTGTGCCATCTGCCAGGCAGAGTTCAGGGAGCCTCTGATCCTCCTGTGCCAGGTAAGAGCCCAGGCTTTCCTGCTGGCATTCCTTTGGGTGTCCTGCAGCTGGGGAGAGAGGCACAGTCGGCCTGGGGGTCTCTGAAACCATTTGCTGGGGCTTGGGCTGGGTCCTGGTGGGTGTTTATTGCCCTGGCCTGGGTCACCGGTGGTTCTTGGCAGCTGAGCCACCCTTTGGGGGCTGACCAGCACTTTTTTGGGGGGAAATAGCCTTGTAGGGCAGGGATGGCAGTTGAGGAATGCTGCAGTCCTGGCCTGGGCTGGGAGAAGCCCTTGGAACACACCACACTGCTTTGGGGCTGTTAATGGACCAGAGGAGCCCGTGGCAAGGCTGGAGGTGCTGCCCTAAGGTTTTCTCTTCAGGCTTTGCCTGCTGGGGTTGGAATTGTGAGTCCTGGAGGGGCCCTGGCTGCTGTGGGGGTGTGAGCAGGAAAACCCCAGGCACAGGGAAGGGAGCTGGTGGGATATGAGCTCTCTGTGGTATCAAAATAAAGCTCAGGAGCCTGTTTTTGGAGAGCTTCATGGAGAGCTTTTGGAGAGCTTTTATCCCATTAGACAACAGGGTTATCAGATTAAAGCAAGTGGGTCTCCTGTGCATCAAAGGTGCCTCTCAGCATTGTGGTGAACATCTGTGCAGATGTTCCTGAGCTGGGAGCCCCAGAGGAGCTGCCTTTGTGTCAGAGCTGAGCTTTGGGGAGTGACATTTCTGCTGACTCCACATGAGCTGAGCTCTCAGCTTCTCCTCATACTCCCTCCCTGCCCTATTCCTGCTCTTCCAGTGTGGGACTGGGTGGTGTGAGCTGGAGATCCACCCCTCCTGATCCTGGTGCCCAAGGCAGGATGGAGGGAGAACCCAGGGAGGGGCCAGTGCAGAAATGAGGGGAGAGAAGGGGTGAAAACTGGCATTTATGGAAAGGAGACACTGGGCATTGGGAGCAGAATAAAGCAAATGCAAGGAGTGTGGGGGGGTAAAAAGTGGGTAAAAGTGAAGCCTTAAATAACTCAGGATGGAAACACGGCAGAGAAAACCTCTCCCTACTCCTTTAGGCCTTTTTAATGTTTCTCTCTAGTGCCACATTAAGAAATAATAAATCACTGGCTTTGGCAAACACGCCGATGTGCTGGTAATGCTGGCATTTATTTTTCCATGCGAGTGTCGCTGTTGTGGATCCCTCCCTGCTCCCGGGGGGGACAGGGAGGGCCCTGCTGCCTGGTGACACTGCCCCTTGTCCCCACAGCACGTGTTCTGCGAGGAGTGCCTGTGCCTGTGGTTCGACAGGGAGAAGACGTGTCCCCTGTGCCGCTCGGTCACCGTGGAGACCCTGCGCTGCTGGAAGGATGGCACCACCTCTGCCCACTTCCAGGTCTACTGACACAGGGCACCTCATGCAGGGGAGAGGAAAAACCTGGAAAATCACCCCGTGCCCCCCCATTTAGCTGCCCTGTGTGTTTGTTGTCAATCTTCCTCCCAGCTCTGTCCCTCCAGGAGCCAACGGAACAGTCGGGACCGGCCGGGAACTCCGTCCTCAAAGGCAAGGAGATGTGGTTTGTGCCTTGGCTGAGCTACAGCCGAGGATTTTCCTGGAGCTGACGTGGTTATGAACTGCCTGGGATGTTTCCTGCTTCCCTGTCCTTTTAGTGTGGACAAATCCCACGTGGACAAGGCAAGGGAAGGGTGGATTTCATGGCTATGACCTGATGTGCTGCAGCAAAGCTGTGCCTGGCTCGGGCCTCTGCTGAGGTGTCTCACGTTATATGGCCCCAGATTCCCTGGATCCATAGCTTTATAGGATGACACAGTGGCTGTTACAGAACCTCTGGGAACTCTTCCCAAGCAGGGCTTCAGAACCTCATGTCCAAAAGGTCATGTGGGGCTGGAGAGATGGCATTTCCCAGCAGCCACATGTGTGCAGTTGGTGCCACCGATGGCACAACTGTGGCTGCAAGTGTAATAAAATCATTAAAAAGTCGGGAAAGACCAGGCAAGTGAAGCTGGGAATTACATTTATTTTTCTTGGGAATGTTTTCCCTTTTTAATATTCGTGGTGAGGCTTTGTGATTTCCCAGTATATGAGGAGAACAGCAGGAGGCAGAGGGAGATTGAAGTGACAGAATCACGGGAGTCGAGTTGGATTTGTCTGGGTGAAAAATCCAGCTCCAAACCAAGAGCATCCCACAAACTGAGGGGTCTCTGCACCTGCTCCTGGGTGCAGCCACTCCAGGCCAGCCCCACTCGCATCCAGGACCTGCCTGGGTCCCAGACCAGGAGAACTGGAGCTCCTGGAGGGATCCCTGCGTTGGCAGGGAATGAACCCCTTCCTGTGGCTGAGGTGCTGCAGCAACAGGGAGCTGCTGTTTGTTCTGGAGCTTTCCCTGGCCCCAGAGCACCTCTGCTCCTGCTGCACAGCCAGGAAGTGCCTCCCTAGGAACTGTGGTGTTTTCCCAGCTCATTGCCATGGGAATGGCCTGAGGTGACAGTCCCAGCTGAGGTGACAGTCCCAGCTGAGTGACAGTCACCCCTGAGCCCATCCCCTGGGGGAGATGAGCTGGGTCTGCCCTCACTGGAATCCCCAGGGGGAGAATTCCAGCCAACAAGAGCTGGGGGCAAAAGGATTAAACTCCACATTTCTTTGGGATGTGGCTGGAGGAGGGATGGCAGTGGGAGGCAGAGCCTGAGCAGGGAAGAGTCCAAATCTGGCTTGAGAGCTGTAGGGAAGCAGAGAAGGGAAAGCTTTGCTTTCCAAGACAAAGTGATTTGATTCCCGTTACAAGGATCCTGTGAAAGCAGGGAATTAGCCCAAGGAATCTGGTTGCTCTCTGCAATGGGAATGGCCCCTCTGGGATGGGGGAAGGCAGGAAGCAAGGCTGGCAGTGGGCACAGGAATGGGTGATAGCCTGGTGTATCCACTGGGAAGAGGGCAAAGGAGGGATTCCGTGGGCAGGCAGCTCCTGAAAGGAGTGCCAGTTTCCAGGGAACCAAAGGGTTGGTGCTTCTGCTTTCCAGGTGTTTGAAAAGCCACTTCTGTTTCTTTTTTTATCCTAAATGCTCCTGGAAAATGCGTTTGGGCAAGTGTAGGAGAAGGTCAGTGGGAGCCCAGCACTGCAGAAAGGGTGGGATAAACTGCTCCAGAATTAGTCAGTGATTAGGCAGGAAATCAAAGGGAAAGTCTGGGAATATTGTTTGAATTCTTAAAAGTCTTTTTGAGAGGGGAAGACAATTCTACCCTCTCCTAGAACACGACACCAGAAAACATCCAGGGGGAAACTTCAGCTCCAGTGATGGGAATCCTGATTTCCACAGGAAAACAGGGAGGGCTGTGGGAGGAAATCACTCAGAGAGAGGAAATAAAAACCCGGAGCCTTTTTTTTTTGCCATTGAACAGTTATTTTTCTCTCTTTTTTTTTTTAATAAAGTCCTTATAAATATGTACAAAGAGTCTCAGCATACGAAATTCCTTTTACAAAAGAGAGAAGCAGCCCCTTCCAAGCAGGACCAGGAGCCTCCAGGGGCTCTGCTCCTGCCTTGGGGAGGTGGAAACCTGCACAGTGACTCTGCTGGAGTTACACCCCCCTGCCTGTCATCCCTGTCATTCCCTTAGCAATGGACCTGGGAGAGAGACTGGGAAGTTCTGCAGTGTCCTAGGGATCGATGATGGGAAGGGTTTTGTGGTGAGCTGGTGTTTGAATTGACTGGAAAGGTGATGCTGGAAATACCCATGGAATTAAACCCCCCCTGAGCTGGGTTTGCTCTGCTGAGGAGCCACTTGGAAGTGATGGTGTAACTAATCCAGGGTGTAACTAATCCAGGGTGTAACTAATCAAGGGTGTAACCAATAATGGGTGTCATTAATAAAGGCCATTTAACACCCAGAAGCTTTCAGTGAATATTTATCAAGCTCCAAAGTCACTTTGTGTAAATATTAAACCCCTCAGGGAACTCGAGCCCTCGGGTTTTCCTGCCCAGTGAGGTTGGATCAGTCACATCAGAATTCCCTCCTGTGTTCAAATAAATATTGTCAGGGAAAAAAAAAGATCCACTTGTTTTGTAGTGGTTTGTAGTTTAATTTTTTTTCCTGGAGGTGGGCACTGGCCATCCTGGAACAGCAGCTTTTCCCACTCCTGGGGAGGGCAGAGCTGTGCTTGGAAGTGCTGGGATGTGAGAGATCCTTGTGCTGCAGGTGGAGTGTGATCCAAGGCACTGGGATTGTCCTGTGCTGGGAACAGGGCTCTGTCTGGGAACAAAGGTGGCCTTTGGAATGTGAGGGGTCGCTGGGAGAGGGCAAGAAGCCCAAGGCAGGAGCAGCACATGAGGATCACTCCCCTCCACTTCATGAGGAAGCCCAATTCCCATGGCATTCACACTGCCCCATCTCCTGGATTTTGAGCTGGGGTGGGATGGGCAAGTCCAGCTCACCCCCAGCCCAGGGGGACACGGAAATGGGGCTGAGTCCGAGGCCTGGACTGCAAATCCCATTTGCTGGGAGAGAAGTGGCTCCAAGGAATGTTGTGCAGATGCTGTTCACCTGCTGGGGGGTGGGAAACAGCCAAAAGTTTGGACCTGGGCAGAAAATGTGTGTCCAGGATTTAATGTGGAGCCACAGGTAGTTTGTTATTCACAGTCGGGCTCCTGTCGACATCCTGGACAGATGTTTTAAAACCATTCCTAGGAAAACTCAATATTAAGTTTGTGTCCTCACTGTGGGCCATTTTGCACGTGGCAGTGCAGTTTTCCAGCAGGGAATTGCCTCATTCCAGGCTCTGTGGACACAGAGACTGCAGCAGTTTAACCAGTTCTGCCTGCACTGGGGTTGATCAGCAGGAACAGTCTCTGCCTCTGCCGGGGGTTTAAGACCCCTGTAATTTTACTGTGATACAGAAACGTGACTTTAGTGTGACACAGAGACAGAACAAACTCACAGCTCGGATGGAATTGATTCAAGAAGTGTTGGTGATTGCAGGGAATTCTTCAGTGTCGGGCTGGGCTGGATGAGGGCGATCCCTGCCCGGTGCTCTGCGGCAGCAGTGGGATGGGTTTGTGCTCCCTCATCACTCACAGCTCCCCGATTTGGGTGATTTGCTGCGTGTTTGTGTTGGTGACGCCTCTCCTGGGCACACAGAGGTGTCTGACGGGAGGCCTGGTCCCATTCCTGATGTTTTTACCACTGAAAATAATTCTGGGAGAAGAGGGCGGGCTGTGGAATGGATGTTAAACCCCGGGCTGGGTGTCAGCGGGGCAGCCCGGGACTGACCCGGCCAAATCTGAGCAGCACGACAGGAGGTGACCAGCAGCCCACGCTGGGCTGCTTTTCCCCCTTGGAATACAGAATTCCAGCCTGTGCTGGGAGCTGCCTTGGCCGGGAGCTGCTTTAAAAATTCATCCAGGCTTTCCCCGCAGCCGCGCGGGCGGCGGGAGCGCAGACAATGATCTCAGCCCGCTCCGCTCCCGCTGAAACCCGAGCCGGAGCCTTTTGTTTTCCCTTTGGAAAGCGCTCCCTGGTCTTCCCAGCTGATCGAAACCCGGGGCTGTGAGAAAACAAACGGGGGGGAGAGAGGAACTGTGCTGGTTTCCTGCCCACGAGGAGGGTACAGACGCTGCCCGGCTGCGCCTGGGCAGGGAATTCACGGGGAATTCACAGGGAATTCGCAGGGAGTTCACAGCATGCTTCCCTTGCCAGTACAAACATCACCCAGGGGGAGAGCAGATCTTCTAAAAACGATAAAAACACCCCTCGTCAAAAAACGGCGGCAATTCAACAATAGCAATTACACCAGAAAATGTAAGGCTTTAACAAATCCGTGCCCTCTAGTAAGGAATTCCAGTTCTGTACAGGGAATTCTGGCTATAAAACTCCAAAATTAACCCTCAGTTCATGCTAAACATCCAGTTTGGAACTACAAAAGTGAAGCAAATCAGGATTTGGGGCACTGGAGCTGCTCTGGATTCCACCTGGGAAGCACCCCAGGTTTGGCTGTTCCACGGCAGCACCACGGGGCTTTAACTTTTTTGCTGAGTGTTTGGAAGCAGCCAGGAGACCAATCCCCTGGGAGTTCTGAGGTTTGGGAATCTGACAGAGGGTTGGGACAGAGGGAGAACAGCCAAGCTCTGCCCTGAGGCTCATCCCTGATTTCAGGGGCTCTCCCGAGGCGGGGCCTCGATGGCAAGGACAGAACTTCCTCCCCTTTTCCATGGCTGAGCTGTTCCAGGGGAATTGCCTCTGTGGGAAGGACACAGGAGCAGCCTGGAGGCTGCAGGGGCAGGAGAACCAGGGGCACTGCCCAGGGAAAATGGGATAATGCATATTCCAGGGAGGAGTTAGTTACATTCAGAGCTGATAGAGGTGAGGAACCTGTGCTGTCCCAGGAATGCCTGGGGACACCCCACGGGCTGGGGAAGGAGGACAGACCTGCAGGTGCCACATCCAGCCTTCCCCCAGCAGTGATTCCTGCTCTGATGGCACTGTGTGATTCCACACACACACCATTCCACCTGTGAGTGACTTGCAGAAATTCCTGGTTTTAAGACACTGCCCAGTCCGGCACTGGCAGCACTGCTGGAATCACTGCTGGAATCACTGCTGGAATCACTGCTGGAATCACTGCTGGAATCACCTGAGGCTCCTCCTCTTGCCAGAAGAATTTGTACCTATTTCAGCAGGAGACTGAGCTGGGAAGGGGTTCAGGATGCCGAGGATTACTGAGCATCAGGCCAAAAAGGACAGGAAAAGGTTTCCCGGGGTCCTGAGACCACCCAAAGGCTACGGACAGACAACCAGGGAGCTCCAGATCCCTCCCAGCACCCAGAGCTCCTCACTGGGAACCACCTGCCCTGCCAGCACAGCCCTGGGGCTGTCTGGGGATCAATGACACCCAGGAACTGGCTGATCAATATATGGATTGATCAGTATTGGGCTCAAATTCGGCAGGGAATCTTTGATAAGGGGAGAATTCGGCTTTCAGGTTCCTTGGAAACCTTTCTCCTGCAGCAGTGAAAATGCTGGATGAACACTCAGCTTCTTCCTGGGCTGGGAGAGGGGTGGGAAGTGTTTTTAAAGGACAAGGAGCCAAACTTCCTTTGGAAATCAGGTTCTAACATTCTTTGAAAATGCCCCCCCCCCCCGCCATGGGAGGGTGAATTTTCTGGTGGAAATATCAGAAGCTTGGAAAAAATGTTCCTAAAAAACCTGTGCCCAGTCATTCCTGTGAGTAGGATCTGGTGATAAGGGACCCAAAATCTGACAGGTAGTTTTGACTGCAGTGGAAAAAGTGCTCAGTACCAGACTGAAAAAAAGCCCTTTGATTTCTAAGGCCAAGTTCTCCTGCTATCCCCTGCTCTAGTGATTAGAGTTCTCTCCCCTGGGTCACAGGATTTGGGACTGCTTAAACCACCATCCAGGAGAATTCCCAGCTCTGGAGCTGCCAGGAAGTGCTGCACCAGCAGACCTTGATGTGGAAAGAGCTGGTGTGTCCTTTCCACCTCAGTGAATGCTGCAAACTGTCAGAAGGAAAAAAACAACTGCTCCAAAGAAAAAAAGAAAAAGAGTTTTATAAAGTTCTGGGGGTAGATTATCTGGTTTAAGTTTCTGCAGAGATTGAAAGAAAGAAAAAAAAATAGCACCTTCTCAACAAGTCTTATTATCTCTCTTTTTTTTTTTTTTTGCTATCTTGTGTATAAATATCAATAACCAAAATAGATCTTTCCTCGTCCCACGCTTCTGAACATCCTCTTGAAGGGGGGGGGGGAACCGTAGCACCACAGAGAGAGAGGCAGTTTAGCCCCGGCCAAATATTTAAAACGTAGCACCAGAGAAACTAAAGTCAGAGGAAAAAAAAAAAAAAAACAAACGAAAAAAGCCGATCCCACCTGGTGCCGGAGCGTCAATATTTACACACGGCGCCCGCCGCCAGCCCGGCATTCCAAGGGGTCGTTAGCTCGGCACGGACGGTGTTCCAGGGGGAGATCCCCCAGCCCGGGATCGCACCGCCGGCACCACAGGGAATGTCGCTTACGTTCTCATCACGAGGCATGCACGGGCAACTCTGCTTACAGGAGGGTTTACATTCTTCTATATATAAGCTTTTTTTTTTTGTGTGTGTGTGTGTGTGTGTCTCTGGTTTTGCTGCTGGGCCCTTGAAACAGCTCCTTTCCGTGCAAAATCCTTCTTTTCACGTCGCCCAAAGCACTTCCAGCATCTCCCCAACTTCTTTCTTTATCTCTCCACCCCTTTCACAGCTGCTGCTCGGGCTCTGGATTTTCCCTGGAGGAAAAGGGGAAACAATTTTCTCCAAGGGCACAGGGTTTGCTCCAGCCTAAGAAAGCAAAAAAGAACTGGGTGTTAATTATGTCGATGCACTGGGTACAATAAAAGCTTCTTTTTAATTTATGCTTGAAGCCTCCCCTAAAGTTGCAGACAGGAGTTTATAGGGAAGGTTTGTGGCTCAGCACTCTCAGCCCTGTGCAGGGTTTCTGGTGAGCTCTCACTTCACCAGGCTCCTTCTTCTGGGTGCTCCATCCTCACTTCCATCCCGTTAACACAGATGTTAACTCCTTGGGAAGCCATTCGTTTTGTCACAGGTAGGAAAGGGGGTGCTTGGGAGTATCACAGGAGACTGGGAGAACTCACTCATTCCTGGATCTGCCACTGATTAGATTTGTGGCCTGGGGCAAACCACTGCTTCAGTTCTGCTGCAAAATGAGGGCACTAATAACTTATTTGCCTCATAGGTGGGCTGGGAGCCTTAATTAATAAAGTGCTCAGAGAAAAGCACCCATCTAAGTGCAAATTAGCAGGAGAGCAGCCCAAGGGGCATCTGCTCTGAAATCCCCATTTCCCAGCGTTTATCCCTGGCTGGGGAAGGTCCCATCGTTCACAGACTGTGACAATGAGCGATCTGAGAGAAACCTCCCCGGGATGAGGTGACTTCACCCGGCTGGGAGGGAGGAGGGGCAGGCAGTGCCCGTGCAACCGCAGCAGCTCTGGAGTCACATCTCCAGAACTACTGAAGTATCCTGGGAGTGTTTCTGTGGGGCTGCTTGGCTTTTTTGGCAGAAGGTGAAGGAAGGGAAGGGAAGGTTTGGGGAGGGGAAGGTT